CAATAGGCATGCAGCTTTCCTCTATTCTCCTTGCTGATTGGCTGTTGGAATTTAACAGGCTTAACTTAATTAATACCTGCACAGAGCCATTCCATACTGACAGTAGGTCTGTATTCAAGTGTTTTGGTAGGTATTTTAAGCTTTCCTGCTCCAGCATTGGAATGCGGGGCATGAACGCTTCTTTTTTCTTGAAAATCAACAGTTTGCATTATGCAATTAAAAATCCTAACCAATAATGTAGTGAATAGCTATCCAACTGTTGTAGTCTTAGTTGTATGTTACTTCATACTATAGTTATATCAATGTAAAGCATTGTTTTCCCTTGTGTTTCTCATTCTTTCCCTGCCATGTCGTAAAATGTGGTGAAGCCATTGCTGTATTTGCTCCAAAGCAAATGTCGGCCTTTCTAGTTCTATTTTTTTTCCCCTGTCACTTCATATTTTTTTTGTAAAAATCTTAGAACCAACAAATCAAATTGATGTGGCCTCATGACACATCCAAGTTTTTACAGTTGCACTACTGCTGAAGAAGGGCAGTAGCTGGGTCTTCCTTCAGGCCAGGCCTGACTAAGGAAGGCTTCCCCATCTGACTAACATTGATCTCTTTGAAGGCGACTGTTCGACTTGCCACTGGTTCCAGAGATTTAGGTGGTGGTTGGGGCACTTTTGCTGAAACAAACAAATTGAATTAACTTCATGTCAACAGGCACAAATTAACTATATGAAGATGTAATCTTGAAAGTTCATCTGTGTTGATTTTTGAAGTCATTATGAAACAATTAAAAGTGCTTTTAAATTAGTGCTTTCAACTTCTCAAGGTTCTCAGGTATATGAATTTTGACCACGTTGTTTTGACATAATTCCCATATATTAATGTAGGAAAGCCCTATTACTGGGCTGTGCCCTTTAGTTACTAGTACCTTTCTGTGACTGCTGCCCAGCATACTCCACTCCTGCGTGGGTTGTGTCCATAGGTGCAATGCGGACAGCTAGTTCACCTATGCTGGGCTGGATGTCAAAACGGACTGCAAAGGGACGAATGAATGGTTTATTTATTATGTTTACCAAAGGAAAACATATTGTTTTTGCTCTGTTTCTTCCTCTTCTTCTTCTCCAAACAGTGACCTCTGACCTGATCAATGACATGATTTGTTGACATCTGTCACCATGGTGACTGGTGTTGGGTTACATAATGTTGCAATTTCACGGTCTGCTCTGCTTCTGTCACCATATACTAGTAGCAGTAGTACATGTATGTGAATGTGTTTGAGTAAGAATTAGTGCAGACCATGTCCAAAGGTAAACAT